CGATGAGGAGCTCCTTTTAGAGCTTGGACTTACCATCCAGATTATCCACGATTCAACTAATGGTCGCGTTCCTAAGTTCTGGAGGTACGTTTCCCAGGATTTGCAGGTTTTCGCTTATCGAAAGCTGACTGTCTTTTGCAAGGCCTCCTTATGGCGACTCCGATGTCCGCGTCGTTGCCATCGCCTACTACGTCTTCCGTTCGTATCTTTTCCACTTGTTTTACTAGCTGTCGTTCTTATTTTACTATCTCGGCAGACTTGACCACCGTTATCTGGAACCAGGATTCCAACGACTGGCAGATCGGTGACACGGTAGATGCCACCGGTGTTTACACCGATGCGAGCGTTACTGCCAATCTTACCAACTGGCTCAATGGGCCCAAATCTCCCGGGCTCCTCATCCTCGAGCACGAGTTGACGAATGACACCGTTAACTGCTTCATCAACACCTACCCTCTGCACGCCTCCAACGGGTGGATCAGCAAGTCCATTCCCGATGTCTTCAATCAACCATGGTATCAAAACTCCCAGAACAACACCGCTCCCATGGTCGCCCTGGACGTCGCTGGTACCCCTCCCTCGGCTGTCCCTTCCCCACCCGCCCCCGCTCCCACCACCACTGCCGCTGCCGTCGGCGTCTCAGCCTCAGCCGGTGCATCTGGGTCATCCAAGTCCTCATCGAACAATTCGAAGAACGGTGCTGGCTCTATTGCCGCAATCTCTACAGCCACCCTTCTCGGTGCTGCACTGTGTTCATTGATGTTCTGGTGATAGACGATGAACGCTGAGTGTGGACTATGGACTTGAACAGTCACTTTTATCTGAACCCAAAAGTTATCGAACATTTCCATTTTATCGTGTCCTCGTCTCGTTTGATGTCTTTCCCTTCACGATACCCTCCATTCGCTTGTTCTTGCCATGCGCAGTGCTTTTAATCTCTAGTGTCTACGCCTAGTACAACGGACTTTGTCAATCTTGTCTCGTTTTTCTTGTTTGCTCTCTATATCTTAGCCTTATGCCATGGACATGAGGCGGTCGAATATTACGATGGTATCTACGCTGTTCTGACTTTGCAACTGGCAATTGGTACCCACCGCCGCTCTCAAATCAAGACTTGTGCGAGATTCAACAGCCTTTTTTCCTAGTTCTCGCGCTTCTTTTTCCGAGGTGGTGATGCGCGGCGGTGACTTTGTGTGCTATCATTATAACCAATTAAATCGGCACAGGTTAAGGAGCCGTTGCTGGCCGTAGATATGCAACCAGGGCTTGGAAACGATCTATGGATCTGCCGAATACTAGCACTTGCTGGGAATCGACAAGAGATGTCCCTGAGTGGCGGAACTCATTTCCAGAAACCAGGGAAGGGAAAGGCGATTAGCGATGTTCAAGCAGCTGCCAGAAAGAGCTTAGGGGAAAGAGAGTAAACGAAGGAGAGTTACGTCTAGTTACGTAGGCTGGGCTCGCTGGTGTCGCTCATGCGGAGAGAGCATCACACATGCTAATTCAACGATCTGGCCAGTGGGGTGCATATCGAGAAGGACCAACTAAGGTTCAAAGGCGACCGTGAATTCAAGCGCAGGCATGATAGATCAATTGGACGAGCGGACCCGGAACAATATCTATCGAAAGCTCAGGTACAGGGCAACCGTGAACACAAGATAGATATGTATGCTGTGGACGAGTAGGAGTGGATTGGAATTGTGTGGTGGGTTTCTGAGTGGAAACGAGTATTCGAGCGGGCGCTACATTCTGAGAACAGTACGCAGGAAATTGATCGAAGTTTTTAAAATAGGTCCATCACATCTGGACCTCATGTAGAAAGGCCGTGACCCGCCGTGGAAGCTCTTTTCATTACTGCCCTGATGTAGCTTCGAAAAGGGCCTCCACAGATGGTCAGAGTCTCTTGAGTCCGTTTCTATAATGCTGAGTTTGTCTGCGGCGCCGAAGATAAGGGGGGGGGGGGGCGTCTGATAGTGCTGAAAACAACTAGTTGAGGACTGATGCCATCAGTTGCCATTGAAGCTATTGACAGTGGTTTCTAAATAGCTGAGAACCGCTCGGGTTCCTACTACCATTGGAAAGGACGGACAGCTTATGAGTATCTCTACTGGGTCGAAAATATCCCATGAATGCGTTTATGTGCCCCGAGTGATAAGACACACCAAAGGAATAGACGCATAGAAAAGAGAAAAAAAGTCGGCGTCGGTTTCTTGTTGCGTGGCCGTCGAATGTCGAGAAATCTGTGAAATTTAGCGATACGCGCCTGAATCAAATTGGTGGTCTTGCGGTACTGATTAGCCGCTGAGCTAACTCATCACGTCTGGAAACGTTCGTGGCATCCTCATATAGCGCAAATTTTCGTCCTACAGGACCACCATGTCTTCTGTTCTTCAGCGTTCAGCAAGCGCCGGGTGTCCATGCGGCACGTATGGCTAAAGCTCATGAAGCGCTCCAGCCAGTAGTCGCTCACACTGTCACACACCGCTCATTGAGTGCTGCATTGGTAGGCGGCTGGAGGGAGGTTATATATCACCGGTACACGAAGCGTGTGTCGCGATAATAAAACTGCTCGAAGAGCTTGCGAGAGCGGTAGTGAGGTGCATCCGCTTCTCTAGAGCCAATCAGGACGCCACCGGCCGGGTAAAATAGATGGCGAAAATCTTCAGTGGGCCGCCTCGCTGATGACTAATGGCGCCGCCAAAGAAGAAAGGGAAGGAAAAGAAAAGACGAGCACAAGGTCGGCAGTGTGTCCTTTGCGGCGTAGCCATCGAATATTGAAAGACAGGCGAGTGTTGATGATATAGGCCCGAATCGAACCTAGAATCTTCTTGCTGCCTGTAGCATATCGTTGGCCGCTGATCAAACCCACCACGTTTGAGAAAATCCAGCTTGCGGCTCGGAGAAGGTTGGCCATTATCGCTTTACGAGCTCCGGGTCACCTCGCAAGAATGGCAGGGCGGCCCAATGAATTGAATCCACCTGTCATAAAGGCCGCCCAAATGCCTCTCGCGCGTGTCATCCGTAGGAGCAGATCTCGCCTTATCCGACGTCCTCACTTTCCATTCATACGCAATCTCTGTTTCGGGCGACGAGATCGATGAGATGCGATCACGAAAAAATGAGCTATGGAGTAAAAGGCTAACGTCGGGTTTTTTTTGCAGAGTACACGCGAGTGTAGAGTGTCGAAAAATCTGCCCAAGTTATGTAATGATATGTGTGGATGAATGATGGGTCACCGAGCAAACATTTACGCTGCTGTGAATCATGGCTCTAGAGCGGCACTGGTACCTCGTGGAGACGCCACTCGTCGTTCAAGTATGTCTCACAGAAGGAGACCAATCCGTAGATCAATCGCCTGTCTAGCGCGCGCAAATTTCATAGAGCGAGTGACGATATCGGCTTGAGTCGATGATCATGAGCGGATCGTGTTGGCGTTGATTTGGAGCGCGACGACTGGTTATGTCAACTGAGTCCGGTGGCCCACCCAGCTTGGTTGACCAAGGTGTCATGCCGCCATGCTGATATCTATTCAGCTCGAATTCAGAAGACAGGCTCGTCTGTCCCTACGCCATTCATCAAGTGCTCCTCGTGGACCCCGGTCCCGACTTATACACTTTAAGACTCCATTGACAGCGGCTCAAACGGGATATTGGGGAACTTGGCTCGCCTGCAGTGACTTTTGTACGTCTGGGGGCCACCTGATAGTGTGTATGCTTCCATAAAGATAATCTACCAACCTCGGCACCGCTTCATGTCTTTGTTTCTTGCGCTCTCCGCTATTGATAATTGGTATCTAAACGAACTGATCCGCTCTTCCTCGCGTCGTCTCTGAGGTCCATTTCGCAATCTCTAGGGCACATTTATCAGCATCCGTGGGCTTATCAAAACTTCCCATGTTGTCATCTTCTTCTTTGCTCTGGTCATGGTCTATTCGTAACTACAACAGCTCATAATCTGGATACTTGCTTTCCCCTGGGGGAGATTCCTTTATGAACTGCGACCACCGCCCGCGCCCCTATACCCAGCCTCTTGGTTGAAGTAAACCAACGTCTGTCGCTGGGTCACGTTTTACCCGCGATCATTATCCAGTCCTTCTCTAGTGGCTATCGGAGTTGCTGCTTTCACTAACGAGTGAGCCACATCCAATTACGAAGATTCGTACCAAAGTTTTGCAACGCTTCATTGGGTCACTGCTGCCAAAATCAGGCACCCTTTCAGGTCGATCTCATGCTCGCAATCTCAAAAGGTTGTGGGGCTGCTATGCCCATTGTTCCAAGTCAAGACTTGCAATGGAATTTGTGGAGGGTCGCGATCGGGGCCCTCGGCCCACCGCATTCAGCCGTTTGTTCTTCCTCGTTTTCGAAATCCCCACTTAATTATGATGCACTCGTGAAGTTGGGAGTTTGGGAACCATCCGGCAACGCTATCGCCTCTCACCTCACAAATGGGCTCAAATAGCGTTGTCACACAGGCTTCCATGTTCAAGATGTTGTTATTGGTATCTGAGCAGGATACGAACAAGACCGAGGCAGGAAGGTAAATTCAGCATGGAAATTCTTTTTTGATTACGCCTAAATAGGTCTGTGGCCCTTGAAATCACGAACAAGAAGCATGGCACATCTTTCTATCAGGTTACTCGTACTATGAATGTGGTCGCAATGAGCAGTAGCTATTCCTTCAGGTACGGCACTTCATGTGACTCCTGCCTTTGATCGAATGGAGTGCTAAGGAAGTAATAGGATCGTGGTTAACAGGAAGATTACACGGAACTATCGGCATAGGACCTATAGTCTTAGATTTTTCATGAGTATGGTGTTTTGGGATGCATCCATTATCGTAGTACGGAGATAAGTTTATTCCGATCTCTTTCAGCGTAGTCGCACATCAGCTCAAGTTCTCCGTGGGCGTGTGTGCCGGCTCTTTTTATGCATGCCCGGCTAGAATAGCAAGATATTGTGTCGATAGCTGTCCAGAGAAATTCCTAGCCTTCTCCATCACAAGGCACAATGGCCGAGCGGTCTAAGGCGACGCACTCAAGTTTAATTACTTCCCATATCTGGGGTGATTTGCGTTCTCTTCGGGGGCGTGAGTTCGAATCTCACTTGTGTCATATCTTTTGTGTCCACTCCTTTTTTACACAGCTATATCCGTTGCTTTATTCTTTTAAGTGAGGATATCTACTTATCAAGCACAGATCAGACGCTCGACGCAATATGTGCAGCTGAGTGCCTTCATGCTTTTTACCTTGGTATAGGACGTATGCCTCCTTTCATTCTCGCCTTTGACGTCGTATCTCCTGCAAGCGGCGGAGAGCGCACCAGCGTCGGGTGTGGCGGTAAGTTATCAGAGCCGGAGTCATGAGAGTCGGATGCAAGGAACTCTACGGCCTTGGTTCGAACTTGGGAGCGAGTCCGCGATTCACCATCTCCGCGTCCTGGGGCGCAGCTATGATTCTATAGTACAAGCTATCTCGATAATACCATCTGGATCTATCACCTTCACTTCTTGCGCATGACCGAATTGCCTGACTCGCGGCCCATCCTTTTTATGACTGCAAGCTCCAGGGAAGATCACCACTCCTTACGTGAATGATATAGGTCTGCTGAATCTGTTGGGCCGGCTTTTTCACGCAAGGTCATTTACTGCGGTAGGCAACTTGCATCGCGTGAGACTTCTTGCCTATTGAAACCAAAGAGAGCTGAACATGCGCATCGCGACTGAGGCGGTAGAGCCTGTGGCGGTTAGTACCCAACAAGGCTATAGCTTCGGTTACGTAACGTAGACTACCCTACACCCGCAATTTTCCCACGTCGATTGGATCCCCCAGTGCCCACCGCACACCCAATTGCAACCACCATCCCATAAGGTTTGGCAAGCACATTTCAAGCTAAGCGCAGCTGCAGTCTTTCCTATGGCACCACAGCGCGCTGGCAGCTGCTGGCAGCCGCTTTCGAAGCGCCTGTATCTCTGCAGCCAGCAAACTTATTCTTGACGTGACATTAGTATTGTACTCTAGGTGCTCATGTCTTTGCGTCCACACTTTGCTTCGTCACTGTATGCTCGCGCTCTCCTGTGGGCGCTTGGATCTGGTGCCAAAGGAATTCTCAATCAAGCACTTTCACTGGAAATATTGACATTGGCTACCGCGTGCCAAACTAAAGGCAGATTTGCGAATTCCTTGGTTTTACGCTCTGGATTTATGTGAGCAAAAGAGTTTCTCGTTGAGAATTAATCGTTTTCAACGCGGTGGTTAGGGGTAGGAGCATCCGGCGTGATCGTCTTCACTTGCGTCAGCAACAATCCCGCTCTCCACGTCATTCATTTACCATCGCCCTGGTTCTCCAAAGTTCTCCCAGCATCGTCCTCGTCGCCTAAGACCTTTCTCAGGTTCTCCAGTAGTAGATTTCTATTATTGACCAGGTAGCCCGAGAGTCGACCCAAATATATGTTTCGCTTCCTAGGATCAGGCCTAGGTCAGGCTTAATTGGGCTCAGATTGCTAATTCTTTGCGATTTTTCTCAGACTCTTGCCATCACAATCTTCTGCCGGTCCCGTGGGCATGAAAAGACCTACGTTGTACTCCCGGGGATAGAGCTAATCAGTTGATAACGGATCGAACTTGCGATACCTTTCTGGTGGTTTGTAATTTCGGAAACAAGGGGCCCCCACATATCGACATTTCAAGATTGACAGCAAAAACCAGTTTACCTAAAGATCTACGCTGGCTGCTGCCCGAGAGGTTATCGAGGGTTACTATCATATGTTTGGCAACGCCTATATTACACTCTTGTTTACTTCTCTATCGAAAGGATTACGGTGGTGGACGGCGGCGTTTTCCATTGATTGCGCCTATCACAGCCTATCACAGATCTAACGTTTCTACTATTTTCGAGCTTCCCTTCTTAATTTGACACGAGCTTAAATCCATCGTGGGCAGGGCCAATCTCACATCAAAGAAGGCGACAATTGCTGCCCTGGCATTATTCCCAGATCTAGTTGCATAAGAAGCTGTACTTGGAGTGCTTGGCTCTGCATATGCGACTCTTGCCCTTTGGCTGCTGTAGTGCATTGTGTACGTTTGCCGTCTTAGGGCTTCGGGCTTCGGGCTTCGGGATAGACACGGCTGCGCTTTCCCTGGTACATGGACAGGGCTTTATATTTTCAAAGTCTAGAGCTCAGCGTTTCAACAACAACTTGGCAGATGCGTAGTTAAGACCCATTCGCGAGGGGATCTACGCTCGCCCTGACAAGTCGCCGTTCCATGGAGAGGTGCATATGGCGTATATCTCACGGAGAATCCCACGAAGCATGTGGCCTTGCTAAATCAAATAACCTTTGGGGAGCTGGATGCCCAGAAGTCGGCGTCGAAATGCGGTTCAAGGATACTATATAATAACCCTCGCTCTGAGGGACCTTTCCTCAGAGCTCTCCCGTCCTCTCTATCATACACGCTATAGTTGGCGCCTGAATGCCTATACAACATCATACGCGGCGCGTTCATGCATCTCCGCAATCTGATTTGATATCGTGCTACATTGGCATCGCCCTGCCGCTGGACGCCTACCGTCCTATCACTTGTGGAGGTAAATACCGCTTATCTTTCTGCGCGTCGCATCTCCACTGAAAATGTGGTCACAGGGCAACGCACTAGTACTGGCGATGAACAACCATATGTAAGTATCTCATCTCGGTCCCTTGACCAGCTGTACTGGACACGGCTAGGCATTAACAGGGTATCCCTCGCGCTTCGGCCACCACGTACCCGAGTCTGCTGCCTCGGCCAACGGTATTTTCCGCCACACAAGCATCGACACCCACGGCGTCGGATGCATGCGTGGCCCCGCCCCTGCCGGAGAGCGTTATCAATCCGAACTCCAACTCGCGAGTTGGGGCCCAGATTCGGGCGGCGTTGGCGAGGAGGCTTGCTACCGAAGAGCGGAGGGTTGCATATATAGAAGACTTGGTTCGTCACGCCCCCGCCTCTCCCGTTGCCCCGCTCCTCGCCACCATCACCGGTGGCAATGTTACCGAGGGCATCATTCCCCTAAATTCCCTCAAACCCGTGCCTGCCCCGAAGTCCCTCACTGGCGTCGAGGAATGGATCACTGCCGTAAGTTGTATTTGCAGCATGTACGCATCGCACTTGGACTCATTGTATACGCCCAGCTCTCCGTCCAGTCGACTTTCCATCCCGTTGCCCAACCCGCTGTCCACTCTGCTTCCTTCCCCGAGCCTGTAAGTTGAAGTTCTTCAGAGCATTACAATCCCCTTGCTGTTTTGACCCACACTTACACCCTTCGCGCTGTAGGCGCCTGCTCCCAACGGGATTGTGAGATCCTTTCCGTTTGCCTCTCCCCTTCACAGTACTCACACGACATTCTCTCCAGATGATTTGGGATTCCCGCATGCACGACCCGGCGTGCACCGGGCATTGGAGGGCATACGGGCAGCTTGGTCTGGATGACAATGTACGCGCTGCGCTTTTCTTCTCCCTGGAGCTGAGTACTCACACTACCCTTCTCTAGGTGCCGATGGACCAGGAGTCCACGTTGGCAGCATGAGGATTACGGCCACCGAGCGCCGCTTGCCGTCGGCAAGACCCTTGTTCAATACCTTCTGCGTCATGCGTCTCATAGTCTTGCTTATTGTAAGCTATGGCTCCCCGCTCTTCACGATCCCTGTTTCGGGTGAAGTCACAAGGGCCCATCTCGGTACCCAAGTTCAAGAGTTGGTGTTTGTTACCACCCTAAGCTTTCTTTCTGATAGCTGATAGACGGACTTCCCCTAGCCAGTATATCCGCTGCCGGAAGAAGATCACTAAGGACGGGGACCTGCGGGCTGCACGTATCTTTATAGAGCTGGAAGGCCATCATCTCGTACCAGCTGCGATACACCGACTTAGTTTCCGCGGGTGCCATACTCATTCGTCCACCACACTCAACGCTTTGTATGATCAATATCCTACTTTGCGCAATACGCTCTGCCGCTGCTCTTGGCTCTCCTCACCCGACGCTCCCTGTCATTTTGCCCTCCAGCTTGGCGCCACCTTCCTCCGGCCCCGGCTCTCTTTCCGCTCCTCACAGCTCGGCTGCCCTTCCCGCCTCTCACACCCAAGCTCCACCTGCAGAACCTTCGCCATCGACTCACAATAAAATTGAGAACACTGCACAGCACATATTTGGGTCTGGAGCGAGTGGGGAACAATCAAAGAGCAGATGTGATGAACGGGGGCGTATGTGTGCCCGTATACGTCCACGGGTGGATGCGCAAAGTCGGGAGGACACGATCCGTGGAAGCCAAAACTCACCCTACAGGATGGTTTTCCCTCGACGGTGTTAAGTCGAGCTCCCCTTTGCACATCTTCCCGCCTACGCCTACGGACACATCTAAAGTCGCTATTCATTGCGTTTATGAACTCGCATCCGCTGTGTTTCTAGTCGCATCCTAGGTTTCACTATCCTCTCTGTCTCGGCTGCTATACTCTTCATGCCCTGTCTCTGTCAAACGTCTGCCTCTGCTATTGTCCTGAGGATCAAATAATCTATTCACTGGCACTCTACGCTCGAAAGATCGATCTACTTGCGGTGAAACCTGTGTGTTCATCTGGCATTGTTTCCAGCGCCTACAAAGCTCAACATTTTGCAGTGCGCAATATTGATGCAAATCCCAAAATTCGATCATGCACTCAGCCCGAGGCTTCAATAAATCGGGCCTCTGGGCTGGGCCTAGGTAATACCGCCTGGCCTGGACCAGCTACTCGAACTATGCAACCCAAATTCTCCCACCGCGCTGATTCCCCTGGGGCGACGGCTTCCCCGTCAGCACCAACGGTAGCGGAGTTTGACGTTTCAGCTCTTCTAGTGGCATCGCGCTCTCAAACCCAACCATTCAATTAGTAGGGCGTTGGCATTCTATGTTCAATTAATTCTGTTGCGGAGGTATGCATCTCCCGTATCTGCCGTGTACAGAATAACTCAACTGTGGACAGGCCGGATTCGCGCCACTGGTAACATCAAAACACCATCCGCGGCCTCCCTTTGACCAAATCCTCGTGCTTGTGCCCTTATGGCCGCTCCCCATCTAGTCTTCGCTCCTTCTCTACCCTCACCT